ATATTTTCTCTGCATATACAGCAGAAGGTTTGAATCCTGGTTGGGGAAATTTTTTTTCGCACACACAGATTCCTCTTTACCATTTAAAATTAAAAAGAAACAACTTACAGACAGATGGTATGTTTTAAAGCTTAAGTCACCAATACATATTTGATAAGTAACATCATATCAAATATTTATGTAAACATTTTATTAAAATTTAATAAACTTATGAGGTGTCATATATAGATATGATAATTGTATTGGAAAATGGACATTAGAAACTTTCCATTGGTTGTTATTCTGTTTTTTTGTGCGACTTGTTATTTTTGATTGCATCTCCTGGCCAAATTTGATACTCAGCTCATACGCAACAAATGTACATTTTAAGTCTTCTTTTAATAGGAGATTTCAATGAATGCCAAATTATTTTAACATTTCTCTGACTTGCAAATCACTGATTTGATCTGAAATAATTTTGATGCTTTTAGTGGCGCAATTCACCAGCAAGGACACCATAATAAACATTTAAGCGATTATTTTGCTTACGATGTTGTTACTAATTGCTTTGTTTGTGCTCCGAGAATGCCTACCTTCGTGAATTTAATGACAGTGTATTAACATTTATATATGACTTCATCGTTCTTTGTGATGTGAACAAATTATTCATCATATTTATTCATTTTTTCCTGTTAAATATGAAAGTACAATTTTGGATCGTCCACAAAAAAATAATAAAGAGTAAAGTAAATTGCTGTGTCGGTATAATAATGTACAGTACTTTGTTCGATTATTATGTTCTTGTTGTTATTGCTATCACTGTACTATATCCTGTCGATGGCTGACTCAGTAGTATTACCAGGGGACTTCAAATATCATTTGTCATAATAACAATATTCTTTAGTACTTTAGGATCAGATGAAGCCGCAATAAAATATGAATTATGCAAGGCGATCGGCTTTATCTCGGCTTCTTTTTTTACATCAGGGTGCAAAATATTTAAATATTGTCACTTATGAAAATATCAAATAAATTTGGCAATTCCCGACGAATAGTAAACGTTGAATATTAAACGGTCGTAGATTTCAATACACATTGTTTCCATGGCAACTGTATGTAGACTACATTAGCATGGTGTAAAAAGAGATAATAAATACGTGCTGCTTTTCAAGTAAACATGTTATCTTAAATAGAACATGAGCCGCATGCAATATTCATCAGCATGTTATCAATGTCGAACATTTTCTGTCCGGGCTTTTGTACTTATGATTTGAAATAGTAATTAGCATATCGTTATTGCTAATCATGGTTAATAGTCAATGATGATGTTGTTTTCAAACAGTAAGTCCTTCAACTGAATGTATTTTAATCCTTTTGACGACATACACTCTCACTTGTCATATTTTAAGTCTTAGTTATTGTATCACAAATACTGTTTATTATTCTTTAGATTTTTTTGATATGAACCCCTTAAAGAAATATTATTTTGATCATAATGATTTTTCATTATTTCTGGTACTTATTTTATAATTATTCTTTTTCATAGAGATTAGATTATATGAACTGTTTATAAATTCATGTTTGGTCAAAATTTGAAGCAGACTGTAGTGTAAAATTGTGAATAATTACTTAATTAAATATTGTTTTCTTTCTACACAGTGCCCGTAGGGATGTTATATGCAGATTTGCCAAGCGAAAAGAAAAAGGAAGTTGAGAAATTGTTAGGAACAACACGTCTAGACCACCGTGATTGGCGCGGACTTGCGATTGAGCTCGGTTTTACAGAGGACGATACTGTCAACTTGATAAAAAACTCAAACAAACATTTACCAGCTGAAAAAATGCTGATGATTTGGAGTCGACGAGAGGATGCAACTTTAGGACTGTTGGTGGCAGCATTGCATCGAATTGGACGAACAGATGTATTGAATGTTATACCAGTATATGTCAGTTTATCGCAAATCACCTAATATGGAAATCTAAATCTAATATGTAAATAACCTGTGCAGAGTGTAAATATGGGTGGATTTTTTACTTTTATACATATTTTATTTAAGAGAGAGAGAGAGGAGGATCATTGTCATTTATTTAAAATAAAATTAGCGTAGTCACTACTTTAAATAAAAGAAAATATTTCACTTGAATTCTGGTTAAAATATTTTGTACCTTTATTTGAGATACTGTGTAGCAAATATCAAATTGTTAGTAGGTAACATCACCCTGGATGGTTATTATGTAAATTCATCTTATATAGCTACTAGGTAATTTCATGATAGTTGCTGGCAAAGAACTTCAGTAGCAGAAAAATGAGCTGTTCCGCGTATTTGCATTAAAATTGATGGAAAATTCGCCCTCCCGTGAGCGGGGTAAAATTTGACCATTCGACTGAGTGGAGAAACTACAGGAAACAAACGAACCAGCATATTTACTACTGTATTGATGTATAGCGCTGCTGTGCGGACGGGGTAAAATTAATCTCCGTGAACCAACAATGCATTTCGAATGGATGTTCCATTATATTGGGAAGCTGCTCTATCTTCTGCTATTTATTATCTTTGTTGCTGGGTAGTATACCCATGATGGTTACTAGGTAACATCACTCATGATGGTTACTAGGTAATGTCACCCATGTTGGTTACTAGGTAACATCATCCCATGTAATATGATCATCCTAGATATCTGCTCTATAGCATCACTTGATGGTTGCTAGGTGACATTACCCTGGATTGTTGCTAGGTGACACGGAAGATTGAGCTTCTTATTAGGTGCTGATAATTATTCATTAAAAATTATTGAATCAAAGCTCTTTAGGTATTTTGACCTATTAAAGAGTTACAAACATACATTACAATCTTTTGGCACTTTATCATAAATATTCATCTATATTTTTAAAAATATTGTTACTTGTTGGGAGATTTATTGTATCAATAGTTTATTTTATCATTTTTGTGCCAATAGAAAAAATGCAGATTAATTTTGTGTAAATTGCAAAAACCCCATCTTTAAAAAAATATATGATTTCAAAGTGAATATTCATAAGGAAATATTTTATGAGCAAGTATTTCATATTTTAAACTATAAAGCCATGGTGCTCACTTTATAAAAATGTAACTTTAAGAAGATATATTCAGTCTTTGAATTGTGAATATAATTTTGTAAACCGATCCTTTGTGAAGGCAATGTCTGACTTGAAAGTGTCGATAAACTGCAAGATTTGCAGTTGTAAGGTTTTGTATTTAAAATTCTTGGATAGGATTACCAATGTTGTTGATAGATTTCAATATTTCTTTCTTATGAGTGCACAAAGAGGTTTACTTCTATTTCAAGATGGTTATCGTACATGTTGGTTAATTACACAAACCAATAGAGCATGGTACTAGAGGATATTCTATAACTTACTAAATATATAATTAAAGATATGCTGTTTGTGTTAAACTATTAGCAATGAACAATCACATACAATACTAAATTTGAATTGCCTACTTTGTAAGACTGCCTTTACATTTACTTTTGTATATTTAGGTAAATTATTGACTTTTCAACTGAAGAGAAACAGGTGCATAAATAATAAAAGTTCCTGCAATCTTTGTTGAGGCACTTACATTGTCTGGTAATCAATTTAAGGATTTTTGTAGTAAAACCTCTGTAAATCAGCAAAAATTCTGGTTCTCACAGTGGTGTGTCGAGCCTTAAAATGTTGGGAGGGGGAGGGTGCATAGGTGAAGTGGGGGTTCGATGATCAAATGAGAAAATAAGGTGATATATATTACTTGTTTCAGTGTTTTCCATATTTTACTACAAACATTATACCTTCATAGTCTGTTAAACCATTGCTGCTAGATTCAAAGGACACAGGGTACTTCCCCCTCCTTCAATGTTGCAGTGTCTACCATTCTTTGTATCATATTCTTGCTGATATAATGGGGTACACAAATACAGGGAGAATCTTGTGCCCATCCCTGTAACCCATACAAATTAATTTATTCATGCTGATATTGCTTTTGCTAAAATCAATTCTGAACTTATTATATTCTTGCCAGTTATTTCTAGGTCTGTATAAAAATCAACACTTTGTAATCTACAATAAATGACATGTTCAGTGTATTTAGCTGTAATGAATAGTTTTTTGTTTATCTCGCACACCAATTAGGCCTATAATGATGATGAATGTTATGCAACTCTCTCATCATTCTTTATTACAAATCTCATATAAATTTACAAAAGAATGTACATAACCCAGGTCAATAACTGAAAAATTTCAGATATTTGCAGGGTAAAACAAAATTTATGAACAATTCACAAAACAATACTTAAGTAAACTGATTTAAAATTTTAATTAACCAATTTTCTTAAACTTCAACAAGTGAAGTGTTATTCAACATGGTGTTATAACGTTCTTTTCACATTGTGTAACTGGTTAAAATAGCAATTCTACTTAGGTTTTTCTTTAGCACTTTACATTTCTTTTCGTTAGTTTAAATATATATTTTAATCTCTTTGCGTTATTTGGTGTTAGGATCCGTCTACTTCCCACTTATATACAGAATAATTCACATTTTAAGCCCATAGATTTAGGATCATCAACTAACTGGCTATACTTAACAGTTCTCTTCTTATGTGCCTTTTCAATATTGGTCTCAAATGGGACTTGTTAATTCAACTATTTTAATTTCATTATCCTTCAGAATAATCATATCGAGCTTTAAATTAGTAATGTGAATATCGGTATTCAATTAAATTATAATATATGTATATATGACAAAAGGATGAACTTAATGCTGATAGGAATGAAAGGGAACGTTAAAGAAATCTGGAGGTATACAGTACTGTACAGTACTTAGAACCTGCAAAGACAAAAAAAATGATGATAAAATAGAGGGCGGCAGATGGATATTCCCTGATATCATGGCTTCTTAAATTGGCTGGTAATCTTCGTAGTCTATCAATCAGTACAACGTTGTCATTATAATTAATTTTATTCTTTAAAATGTGAAATTTAATACTTTTTAAGCATTTATTTATTTTATTTATTTAACAGTAGAGTTAACAAGGACATTTTGAATGTGCAACTGATGAAATGTGCGCAAGTGAATTTTGGTGGGCTGCAGCAATCGAGGCAAAACTCTGGGACTGGGGGATGGTGTAGGAATTTTCTTATAAAAATAAGATGCTAGACCTTCACATAAGGTTTCTTGACCTAAGAAAAGTTAATGGTTGTCTTTGAAATTTGTCCATTTTGTGTACAGTATAATTATCCATACTAGCCTTTTTTTTTTAATTATAAAATAAATCTAAATGGCTTTTTAAATGGATGTGTGATAAACTGATGACCATGCATAAATTTTGCGAAATGCATATTTCACAGAACCGTCCCGTGCAATGCAAGAAGGTTGGTACCTTTGAACCAGTGTACAGTATCTTATAGAAGCTACAATAGACCTTATCACTAAGCCCCGCCCCTTGGATACTGTTGCTAAGCAACAATAGCATAAATGTGCATTTGTAAGACCAAGGACTTAATTGTGCTTTGTGGGGTAACACATGTGCGTGTGTGGGTGTGTTGGACACATATACACACACACGATTGGTCAGTTGTTAAGTTTGACTGACACAGGCTCCAGAAAACTCCATTGATAATCTTTAATGTTTTGTTATTTAAATTTGTTTTTCTTGAAATATTTGGTGTATACGACAACATGAATATGGTTGCATGATTTAAAAGAAATTTATATTATAATTCATTTCCACTACCAGCAGCTACTTTCAAACTGTAGTAAAAAACAAAGATATCCATTTTTTATCATTTCTTTTTATTAACAAATTTGAAAAACCATTTATATACAATGTTCTTTCTTTTTAATTTTCACCTTTTACATAAAAAAAACTGAACATTTATATTACACATCAACAACTTTTATTTTAAAAATTAATATATAACAAAATCACTGGTTTGCAACTTTTATGAGTTTTCTCAGAATTCAGTATGATTTTCTATAATTCATTGAGGATTTCATGGTTTACATACATTACAACTCGAAAACCCAAAAATTCATTTTCTGCTAACTGTAATTCATGTGATTGTACAATTATCAACATTATTAACATTAACTTTATTTTCAATTTCAGGTAAATATAGGCATTTGGTATCTTAACAGTTGCTTCATATTGATCAATAGATTGTGTAGGGCACACAAACTCCCAAACTAACACTATACACATAAAATCAGAATCTTAGGATATATGATATCTCCATTAAAAGTCCGATGACTCTCTCCCTCACTTTCCCTATGCAGCTACCCAGTTGTAGGATTAATCTGGTTCTTTCCGGTACAGGGATCCATACCGTCCCATATATTTCCGGATGTATTCTTTGGCTTTATGTTTAACATTTGAATTGACTTCCAAATCCTCCATGTTTTTACAATGCTTTAGCTCCTTGGCCATAATACCGTGAGTTAACTGCAAGGGAAAAGATGTATAGTAACATAATCAATACATATACAGTATTCAATTGTGATGGCACACCAATACAATAATATGCATAACTGAGAAACTGAGAACATTTAACTTTAATCTACACTAAAGCACATTAACATAACAAACAATTACATAACTATGAGTGTTATACAAATTAAATTTATGATATATATTATTACAAAATATTTAATAATTTTTGCCCAAATTAAATAATGATGCAAAAGTCAGTCAGCACAACTTTTTTATTCTTCCAAACCCTGGATTTAAACTCATGGTACAAATTCTTCATTCAGAAGTGAGAATTTGATTACATACCTTTCTAGCCAAGTGCTTAAAATCTTCAGTGTTTGTGATTCGTCCAATTTTACAATCTGGTTTCCTGTAGGTGTTCAATACTGTTACAACATAACCAGACATCTGATCAGGGGAAAGGAAAAAAAATTCAAGAAAATTAACATTAGTTTATTGAGCATCCTACATTAATTAACATTAGTTTATTGAGTATCCTACATTAATTAACATTAGTTTATTGAGAATCCTACATTAATTAACATTAGTTTATTGAGAATCCTACATTAATTAACATTAGTTTATTGAGAATCCTACATTAATTAACATTAGTTTATTGAGTATCCTACATTAATTAACATTAGTTTATTGAGAATCCTACATTAATTAACATTAGTTTATTGAGTATCCTACATTAATTAACATTAGTTTATTGAGAATCCTACATTAATTAACATCAGTTTATTGAGTATCCTACATTAATTAACATTAGTTTATTGAGTATCCTACATTAATTAACATTAGTTTATTGAGTATCCTACATTAATTAACATTAGTTTATTGAGTATCCTACATTAATGTTGTTTCTATTTCTCTTATTTGGTTTGATATATTAAACTTCAGCACACAAAATTACCAGATAAAATAGATTACAAATTCTTAAGTTTTTAAATGATAAATGCAAAAATCCTTTATCAGTTTTTATATTTAATTCACATTTATCAGACACAATCAAGATTCATGCAAACTAAAACCTGTGATCTGCCATTATATGGGTGTAATATGACATCATTAGCCCATATATAAATGCGATACAAAAATTATTATGCCCATATGAGATATGCAATTGTCATGCCCATATATGGCCATATCACACACATGGTTAACGTCCACATTTATAGTTTGGACAGACCTTAAAACTTGTTGACAGGGCTACTGTATCCGTGGTAACAACATGATCAGGTGAAGAGAGATAAAATGTGAAGACCTGCCGAGGTTTTGCCTGAATACCGCAAAACCTCGATTTGAAGCCCAATGGACTTAATCTCGAGTAGAAGCCCAACTCGAATTGAAGCCCCTCTTTAGTTCGCAAAATTAGCCTAAAAAACAAGCTCATGGGCTTCTTGCAAGATGGCACAGCTTCTTTTAGAGATAGTACAGTACATACATTGTACATGGATAAAAAAAAAATTAATTAATTAATAACAAGCTTGATTTACACATTAGTTTAGGTGATTTAATGCCAGTTAATACACTCCATGATACAAATTGATGTTACAGTGCTTTATTTATTGTTTTATAGTACAAATTTCCCAAAATTTAAAGCATTCATTTCGAAAGGAAGCTGTCTACCTTGTAAAAGTAGCCTTGAAAAGAAGCTCATCCAAAGTTTGCAAAAAAGACCAGGGCTTCAATTGGAGATCTTACGGTATGGTCATGATGACATCACATCATGACCGTATATAGGCACATCACGACTAAACATGGGCATACCTTAGATCTAAAATGATCTTTACACTTCTTGGCGGTCTCGCTCGACGTGTCTGCTGCTGCCGTCGTCGTTCTTCTGTGTTTTCTCTCATCGTAAGTTGGTGTTCCCAGATCCATCTCTACTTCATCATCCCCTGGGATGGCATCGTTCCCATCCCATGAGGGTGGGTCCCACTGAGTTTGCCTGGTGATATACAAAGCCATAGTTAATTTTATTTGCATGTTAAAAGACACATTCTGGGTTAAGCTAATATATAATATGCAATAATGCACTTGCTTACTTGATATTAAAGTTATTGGCAGTACCTTTTAATTGAAGATATTTTGTTAGATAACTTTTAAATGCTTTAATCAACCTCTTTAATGTTTTAAATCATATTATAAAATAAATGGTACTGCAAAGTAATTTATTATATTACTTGTTTTTTTTTTTCTCATTCTTTTTATTTAATTAACAATTGACATTTTATTGACCTCGTACCTGGTGAGAGCATGATAATAGTACACCTTTCCTTCAGAGTCTGTGGCTGTCTTCCAATTTGGTGGAAGTTTATTGGGAGGGGGTTTTGGAGGGGATGGTATGTCCTCCACTGTCGGTACTACAGTTTGGATCGAAGAAATGGAAGTGGAAGATGTCTGCGAGTTGACTGCAACTGGTGTTAGATTTTGGTTGATAATTTGGCTCTGAAGTTGCTGAAAACAGAAGTATTATTAATGAATAATACAGAAAAACATACAGAATTTTTAAAACCATCTTTATTGACATGAGGATTGCCATCCCAAAACCAGCATAATGTTGCTAAAACTCAGTAATTAGTGCAAGAATGTGCCAGTATTGTATACTTTTACAGAGAAGCTGTAATGCTTTTACCCATAACTTTGGCAATAGAAAGTTGTTTCCAGAGAATGACCCATCATTTTAAAGCTTATAATGTGTAGAATAAGAATATATTACAAAGTCAATTTTCATTTTTTGGTCACTGATGCTGCCTTTGGAATGGCAAGCCCCATAATAAGCAGCTTTCGATTTGGACGACGCGGCATTCTACGATGTGCAGTGGAGCGTGAAACCGTAGTGCGCATGCGAATACATGAGGAAGTCGTTCGTTGTGTGGATTTGACAACAGGCTTTAAGCGATTTGCCGTTGTGTTGACTACGGCAACGCGAATTTTATAAATACAAAAATTAATCACGCGATACGAGGGAGCGCATCTTCCTGTAAATCGAAACAGCTTTGATGTTAAGACGGGAAGTGCATAGTACGATGTTCATGGTTGGCTGAATTCCCCATCGCAGCTCCCCGCATCGCCCATTTCGAAAGCTCGCTACTGTCTACATCAACTACACAATGCAATTAAATAACAGTTTGGCAAAGCCCAGCTCTCTGGATATTGTTGCTAAAGGTTCCACAAAATGACAGCTTTTTGTAGAGATGAAAAATAACTGATGGTTGTGGGACATATGCGTATTCATGATTCCGCCTATTGGATAACATAAGTTGGCTGATTATTACTCAAAATTCATCTAAAATCCATTTAAATTGAGATAGAGGATATTGTTATAAAGCTATATTTACACTATACACGATAAAAACACGACATATCATCGCGTCATTTATATTCTTCAACTCTGAGCACATTTTTATCATGTTGTTATCGCTGTCTAGAGTAAAAGTAGCCTTTTTTGTCATTTAAATTTCAAGCGTCAAAATCCTGCTGCAAGAATGGTACTGGATTTCAATAAATTACTTTGAAAAAGAACATGAGTGAGCAACAAACCTGATGGACGTTAGGGTCAGCAAGAGGCGTGATCGTCTGTGTGATCAGCATCCCATCATGCGTGATGAATGTAGTGGTCTGTGCTTGTGAGGGTGCTTGCTGTAATACAGATATAACAATTTAATATTATTAAATTAATAAATTTAATAATATTTCATTTGGGAGGTTAACAATACCTTGAATTAAGACTAAGAAAATTAAAAACAAAAATATAAAGTTCAGACAAATAATACATTATTTATTATTATTAATAAATATATAAAAATAATTATTAAGATACACAAGTTCTAAATTTTGGAAGAAAATGTGTTAAGAGCAACTCTAATTCCACTATAATTTTTAATTCAAAGGTGAACAAATTAATTAGATTTTAATTTTCATTATGATTCTTTGAATATTCATGGCTAAAATGTCAAGGTTGATGACAAGCATATATTTGTAATGGCAATGAAATGATAATAAAACAGCAAGGTTATATGTGCAGAATTAGAATGATATTTAATGGATTTTTGCTTTAACAAATTATGATAATGCTTTAACTTAAATCAACACATGATGAATACCAATAGTGAAATACAAGGTCATGCATAGATTATTGAACATTACTATACCGATACAGTTACCATGACAATGGAAGGATTGACATAAACATTACAAAAAAAAGTTTACTAAGCTGGGAGTAGCCATTGGGAGCTTTATGCATCGGTTCACATAACGATATTGATAATACAAGAATGCATGTAACATTAACAACTAATATGAAAATTTAATATACGGTAGCATCATTTCAGCAACTGAGGTACAGCATTAATGGTGCTGCGCATGTTATTTTTGATGAGTGAATTCCAAAATGATCATGCTGCAAAAGAAAATTCATCTATGCCTAATAGATTTGGAGAAAAGGGGCGAAAACTGTTGTAATCATACACCAACATTAATGCTCCCATATATGCAACACCTAGCATGGATGCTCTTTATAGACACTTAGCAAGTCAGCATGCAAGCACACCTGAGTTAGGACTGGAGCTTGTTGTCTCGTGACGTAACCACCACCACTGCCTCCACCCCCGGCTGCTTGGGGTTGCATACTTGGTCCCTGTGGTAGGTTAGGATTTGACTCCCAGGGCTAGCAATTAAAATACACCGATATTTATAAATTGCAGAAGTACAGACTTATCAAATAATCTTTAACTACAAAAGGTAAGATGTTATTAGAATATAAGGAGATGCACATCACAAGCATTTAACTCTAAAATTTACCAGGAAACTAATTTTGATCAGCAGAGCACTTGGATTTGACAAAGGACAATACAGTTCTGGTCCAAGGAACATGAGGTTAGATGGCAATGAATAATGAACTTACAGCAGAAGGTTGGATGTTCTCAGCTACCATATGATCTTGAATACCCGGTGGTACCATATGATCAGGAATACCAGGTTGAACCATGTGCTCTGGAATTCCAGGTGGTGGTAACATATGATCTTGAATGATAGGTGGCTGATGTGAAAATATGGGTGGTTCCCAACCCTAGAAATTCAATATAGGTTAAAATAAATTACTGTACATGCAACTAAAATTTAAAAGTCAAATGTCGATACAAAAGAAATAAACATACATGTGGTGGTATCTGGTCTTGTGGCATCATTCCTTGGGTAGGGGGAGGCGTTGGCAGTAGTCCTTGCCTGTGGGGCACGCCATATGACATTTGCATCTGCACTGGTACACCGTTTTCATCCACATGGTACATCATTGCATTTGGATCATTCCCATCCACATGCATCATTCCATCTTGAGGAATTCCAGGAGGAAGCATACCCGGTTCTCCTTGTTCTGGGAATGGCATTGGATATGGCATCTCATTACAATCCACTGTATAATGTGCAGGTATTGGATATCCACTGCCATCAACAAACTGAGGAAACACCATCTCATCTTCATAATAAGGGTCCATCATCTGTTGCTGCATCATTTCTTCTTTTAACTTCTTTTCTTCCTCTTTTTTCAGGATCTGTTCTTCCATCTCCCTTTCAAATGCCTGACGCCTTTCCTGTTTGCTAATTTCTTTGGCTCGTTTTCTTTCAGGTTCTTCTGCAAATTGATCTTTCCATGGTTTGCGTAGCTTGGGAAGTGTCTTGCTTTCGCTTTCCTTTCTGTCATCACGTTCCCTACTGTGCGATCGTGACCTCTTTCTGCTGGTTCCGTAGTCCCTTCTCCGGTCTCTCCTGTCGCGATCCCGATACCTGTCATAGTCCCTGTCATACCTACTTCTCTCCCGTTCCCTACTCCTCTCTCGGTATCTATCATGATCACGGTCTCTATTACGATCCCTGTCGCGATCACTGCGATCTCTCTCATGATACCTGTCACGGTCTTTCCTATCTCTATCTTTTTCTTTATCTTTGTCCAATTTAGGGATGATGTAGATCTCCTGTGGGAAATAAGAGCATAAAACAATGGCAATAAATATAAAAGTCTGGAATTAAAGAATGAACAATCACAAAAATGTAGAAATACACATTATCAGATGTTTTGCCTTGTGATCTCTGACATACCATATAAATGACACATAATTCAATTGTTAAGTTTAATATATCAATCAAGTTTTAAATTTTAAAATCGACTGATGAAAAATTTAAAAAAAAGAACAGATCTTACTTTGAGAGTGCTCCAAGATTCTAGAAGGGATGCTGCTGCTTTGGCTATGGATAATTTAGTTTCAGATTCAGCAGTTGAAATACTGCCCTCTTTGGTTTCAGTTTTAAGTTTACTTTCAGTGTTCTCTGTCTTTCCATTATTTTCTTTCTGCTGTGCTTCACATATCTCATCCCCTACTTTCAACTCATCCTTACTGCCACTTTCAGTACTGTTTTCATCTTTATCCTTTTCTTTAGATGCCACAAACAATTGTGAAACTGGCAACACACCTTCATTTTGTAAGTGTCTAAGTAGTTTCTTTTTTGGTGGTTCGCTACTTTCCTTGGCAGTCTTAGGTGTCGCGACTCCTTCATCAACCATGTCCAATTTTTCTCTGACTGGAGTGTGGATATCATCTTCATTTTCATCAATTATGATCACGTCGGAAGGCACAGCCTCTTCCTTTGCTGGCACATTATTTGAAGTGTTCTGACTGGTTGTAATAGAAGGGGTTGCTGATCTAGAAGGAGTCTCACTGGCACTAGAGTACTCTACTTCAGGTTCAGAAGACTTGGCAGCTAATGCTACCTCTTGCGCCCACTTATTTACCACAGACTTCACTTTACTGTCTTCCAACATGTTTTTATGCGGAATTGGTAAAATGTCTAGAGTTGCCAATATCTATGGTAAACAAGACAAATATTACAATTTAAAAATACAATTAAAAAGCAGAAAAAAAATGCACAAAAACACAATTGAGCGCCAAATACATCACTTGCTATCATAAACAAACAAACCACAATATTTCAGGAATATTTTTAAAAACACTGCTGATTAAAACCATAAACATAATTACTTTTAGTGTATACATAAGAATATAACTGTTTACCTAGCCCTCACACAGTATTAGCATACAAATGTATTTTATCATTGACAAATCATTTGTGTACCTGGATTTGAAGTTCCTCTCTGTTTTCTCCCAGATCAACCATCCAGCTCCATATAAGAGCTAGTCCATGATGTGTCAGAAAGTATTTGAGGCAGTCTGGCTTCTTGGTATCCTGTCGAGTAAAAATAATGATATCAATTATATGACCAGAAGTGATGCAAGGTGAGTACGTCAGAATACGGAACAGTAGACACGAGGGAGGTGTGTTTTGGATTAGAGGACAAACACCACCAGGTTCAGAATGGATGATTTACAGATTATCAAAATTCAAAATACAGTAGTTTTACATACAACATGTAACATTTCATATCCAATCTGGATGTTGTCTCATAGTCAATTTAAGCCTGTTTTCCAACAAATCCCAACAGTGTAGCTACAGTGTTTTCACTTAAATCATTACACTGTCTATATGTCCACGATGCAAAATCTGTGTCTTGATTGGTCTAATTTCTATTTGCAGTATAAATTCCTGTATTATTATTATTATTATTACAATGCAAGATATACTGTCTTTTTTTTTTTTTGAGTAGCTTACCTGTAACACTTGTAGAAGTTTCAGTCTTTGACTACTTGTTTCTGCTCGAACCATAAATCTTGAAAGTCTGAGGGCATCATCTGGTTTTTGGAGACCATCATTTTGTATATCACAACACATGGCTTCAATCTCTTCATCCAGCTGGGGGGGAAAAAGTATGACATCAATACCAAAACACAAGCACATTCATAAATGACATCACACTGAAGTCAGACACTCATTGCACCCGATGGCCGTCGGGCGACGCGAATTTATGTAGAACTCAATGCCACGACGCGCATTTGTAATGACGATCCGTTCATATTGCCACTGACAATCAATTGCGACGCGTTGTCTAGCACTCCCAGGGGATGAAGTTGGATTCGTTGTACAATGGTCATACGATGTATTGAGTACCCAGATTTTTACAGTTGTTTGACCGTACATTTGAACATGTTAAACCAATCTATAAACCATGCTATATGGGGCCTGCCATGCCAAAACCACCATCAGTGACTAAGACAAGAAAATTAACTTTTTAATATATTCATATTCTCCACATTAAGCTTTAAAATAATGGGTCATAGGTCGACTGACAATTGCCAAAGTTATGATTAAAAGTATTAGCGTTACTGCCACATTCTTATGTTAATTACTCAGTTTAATATTTTGCAACAGTACACTGGTTTTAGGATAGCAAGCCTCATATTAGAATTTTGTCCACTAGATAATAAATATACTCTTGTAGAGATCACCCACTGAAAAGACAGCCAATAAATAAATAATTCTAGCACTTATTTATCTGAAGTTTTATTACGCAATGTTGTACTTCTGTGTTGAAGTACCAATATATATTTTAATTCAATGCCACACTTCATTTTCACCCCCGCCCCCCCCCCCCCCGATTAAACATATAAACATGAGTAAACAAACTTCCTTCTCTGCTTCCAAATGATGCAACTCACTTCATACGTAACTACATATTTCTTAAATATTTAACATTTTCCTCATGTACGCATTAGTACTCACCGAGATATCCTCAAAGCTTTCTTTCTTGCGTCTTTCTTGAGTGCTTCTTCTTCGTGGTGTTGAGCTTTCACCACGACCTTTAGGTTGTGGTTTTCTTTTACCAATGAATCCACGGCATGTATCAGCACCACAGTAACATTTCTGCGCTTCCTCGCTTTTAAGGATTAAAAAAAAATATTAAATAGATCATTAAAAAATGTCTTTTCATCAAGCACAAAGTACATAACAAGTGAAAGTCTTATTTTAGCTTTAGTAAGCTGAGTTAAATTACTTTTTAATTTTAAAATCAGGCATTTCACTAGATTTGAATCCAGAACCATGTTACTTAGTACACACTCAGTAATATAATTTTCATTGTAAAAATACATAAACTTCTGCAGATGATTAACAATAATAAATACAATTAAGAATTTGCACTCAAATGTTTGGTAAATATTGACTTCAGCAAAATGTTTATAGCACCATTGTTTTTCTTATTACCACCATCGTGTTATAATGACTATAATTTCATTTATTATTTTCACATAAGAATTAACTGTCATCTTAGCTTACCCATATACTTCAAATTGGTAATCAAATGTAAGTTCTTCTCCCATTTTCAGAGGTTTGCTTGTGAAGAACCCTACTCGTAATGCCCCGTTAACAGTCCACTAAAATTACACACACAAATCATAGTTACTTTCCACATATGCCTTTTAAATTACATTGGACACATCATGATGAAAGTAGAAACATAAAAGCCCTTTGTATATTTCATCTAGCTGCTGCCATTTGCAATATTCTATATTATAATTGTCAACTATGAAGAACATTTCCCTGATATTTAAATGGACATAGGGAGTGACAAAAGCTGATTGGATGGATTAATTAATTTACCTTTTGTGTTTCACAGTTTGGAGCACAACTATGGTTGATGAATCTCGAGGTGTTCCCACGTTTTGTAGCATCAATAATCTGGAACAAGAATAATACAGATTACTTAAAAAGAATAAATTAAAGGCGAAGTTTATGCCAAAAGGGGGTACAAGGCAATAAAATGAAAATGTAGTACAATGCCAGAAACTAGGGGTGGTACTTAAGGATAGCTTGTCAATAGTACTTAGGCCTCAGCCTAAGACCCTAGGTAAATTACAAGTTGATAAAATTTATATCTTTCACTTTCATAATAATGCTACAAACACTTGCCTCATCGGTCTTGAGAGCCATGAAGTAAAAGTGGTGTTGCTTTGCTTTGTTGTATTGTTTCACCCTCTGCTGGAATTCATGGAAATTTAGTACCTCCCCACAATACTCCATTACAAATGTACCTCTAAATATAAAAAAAAATAAAAATTAGCAATTACATTTAAAGATGTATTCTCTGAAGGTTCCACGTGTGTTTCGGTACGATAACAAAAGAATATAGGAAACGAATACCATGTATAGACTTCAGAAATACTTTATTGGAGAAAACCAATATTTCGACCTATCCTCAGGTACAATTGTACATTCAGTAAAGCTGATGAAGGCCAGAGGACTGGCCGAAAATTTCTTTCGAAAATAAATGAAGTGTTCTACAGTCTACATGCCTTGTTGTCATAATTTTTTGTTTCAACGACTTATATATAATTTGAAGAACACACGTGGATTTACAATGATATATATATATATATATATATATATATAATAATATGTGTTACCAAACTACTGCATATAATACAATTAAATTAATGTAAATTACATAAAATATTAATAGTATCACAATAATTATATTAATTACAGTACTTCTAAAATAATAAATTGATGAATTTACAAATTCATCTTTATTTCAATATAATCAAAACTATGTAAATTAAAAAAGCATAAACTTACTCTCTGATGTTAGTCAATGCTTTCACACCGTGCCCTTTTTCTTTACTATAGAAAACACCGACCTTTGCATATTCATGCTAAAAAAACAAAAGAAATAAAGAAAATATTACATTTTAACTTTTTACTGGTATTTTATTTACTTCTGCTTTGCATACATATATTTACTTTACTGTAAAACTAGCTAACTTTGCGCATTCAACTTTAGCGAATTTCGTGAAAGGTTTATGCCGCGAATAAGTTTCAGGTCACATTTCCTATGTATCAAAAAAGACTGGTAGAGTATTATCTGATCATCATAAATGTTGAATCAGATCCAGAAATGAGATTTTGGTCATTAAAAATCACTGAATTACACCAAAAATAAATTTCAACTTTTTTACAAATGATAATGATGAATAGACAGCAAGAACCTTCGGTATTTCAAGGCCTAAACTCACTGACGACGATGCAATGCAGATCTAGGGCCTAGGCCTAAATGGGGAATCCCCAAGAACTGCAACATGTTTGTGAAGAGTTAACAACTTCAGCATTTAAAAAATTGTATTTTAATTATTTTGTTGGATTTTATTAAATGAGTATAAACTTAATAGAATGTATTTCAATTATTGAATTGATATTCTGACCTTAAAATTCCAATCTACCGAATAAGTATACTGATCAGGGAGGTTCTGATCATCACTGCATGTGACTGCACATGTGCAACCACTACGCAGTGTATACTAAGAAGTGCAAATAGAAACTAATTTGCACACCATGACATACCACGATGTTCAGTCATCATCAATCAATGTTTGAATTAATATTACAGGAAAATAATTTGATAAAAAAACACATTTTCATAAACATCGTTCATGGTAAGATGCTTGAATACCATACAAACTTTAGGATTATCATGAGTGTGTACTGTATGTAAACTTGTCTCCTCTCTTTGTCATAATTAACTGTGCCTAAGAGGGCCAGCTAAGTCCTAGCAGCTGAGGTAGGCTGCAGGCTTATGACACCTAGCCTAGGCCTAGCTACTAAAGTCTAGAGAGTGGCTGTAGGCCTATCGAACCTAGCCCTAGAACTCACGATACGATACTTTCAGCTATTGTATGGTATTCCTCTCATGAATAAAATTTAGGCCTTTTGCGCTTCGCAAAATTTTAATGTCACAAAAAGGCCAAAATTATGTGTGCCGCAAAAGTTTCTGGTTTTACAGTACTGTAAGAAATTTTTGGGAAAAAGTTAAAAAAGAAAAAAAAAACTTACTCGTTGGAAACGTTTGTTCGTACAATAATCTCCACAAGGACATCTTGAAGAGCTGGCGGGAAAGAAAGATGAATGATAAAATCAAAAGCATTATTTTGGGTAAAAATGAAAATTACATAAATTTAAAGTGATGATTACTTAGCTGTTGGCACATACCATTCAATCATCAACAGCCGATTAAGGCAGTCTTCACCGCAGGCTGGCATCCCTCTCCGCCGTTCTTCAGATGACGTTGTGCATTCGCATAGCATACGTCGGGCATCTTTACTTGCTTTTGATCGTTTCCTATAATAAAAATAAAGGTTCAATAGAGGTCATAATAAACTGCAAAGGCAAAAAATGTAAATAAAATTTTCACAATAGAAAGTGCAAAAGGTGTTGTGATTATCATTATCACAAATTTTACTGAATACCGTAATCATACCACTGACCATAATTAAATGATTCTGCCTATTCCTATGTGCAATTCAACCCAGTAAAGCTGCAAGTCACAGGTTATCCCATTTACCTACACCTAACTGAAATACCCCTAAAGGACAACATTATATACGGCCCAAGTAGATTGGTTGCTGCTTGATCTGAGTCCTTGCTTTGAATCTTAAGGTGCATTACAGGCTAGTTAAGGCCTAACCCTAAGACCTCGTGAATGAAAGTTGTAGGTTTGCGTCCACCGCCCGCATGCCTAAAAAGCTACCGCACGAAAATGTTCATTATTTTGAAAAGTTCATTATTTTGAAAAAAAATATACTTCGTTTTAAAAAACGGACTTTCTAAATCGTAAACAGACAGAAAAACAATCTATTCATCACTGATCACTCGTCGCGAACACCGAGCGAAGGCAAGCCTGACCACATCCCACCATGATCGCCGATCACTGCTGAGGTCATTTACGGGTCAAATCGATCTTTCTGATGTTTAAAGAGGTCTTAAATGTAGAAAAGGATCTGTTTTATAGGCTAGTGTACATTTATGACTGTAAGCATTGTTTCTTGGGAATAAATGTAAAATTACCAATGCTGCGGCTTGTGGACAGCATTTATAAAAAAAATAATGAATAATGAAAAATGAAAAAATGCCTCATGTGTTTTCAAAATTTTTCGGAAGCAAACCTACAACTTTCATTCTCGTGGCCTAATAATCTATATTTCAATATTGTCAATTAGCAGTTTTATGAATAAAAAAAAAATCCCTTACCTTTCTGTTAAATAAATATTTTCCATAATACTGTCAAATGATGGGATGTCTTGTTCCTCTAAGATGCCCATAGTCTTATAATCTGGGATTTCTTTTACTCTATGCTTCTTTTCAGAATGTTCATAGGTGGAACTACCACCACTCTGCCCTGAAGCACTGATTTTCTCTGCCTCACTAACAGTAACCAAGCCTGGGCCTAGGAGATCAACTTTAATCTTACAATTATCATCCACAGACAAATCTTCAACACTGTTTTCTTTAAGATTTTTTATATCCAGATTACCAACAGCAACTATATCTTTGTTCTCAGAGCATTTGCTTCCATTTGGTAATAACTCAAACACTTTCTCCTCTCCATCATGTGTCTTATCCTCCCTATCAAAATTAGGATCAGCATGGTATTGCCTGCTAATATTTGAACTTTGACTCTGCTCTTTTCCCATAATACAAGTTTGGGGCTCTGTTTGTTTTGATGGAATGTGACTGACTTCAGAAGTCATAGTAATTTCTTGTTTTTGTTGTAAATCTTCTTGAGTGAATGCATGATTTTTAACTTTAACTGTCTCAATATTTTCTGTAGTTTCATGCACTGGAGAATGTTCTGTAGAACTATGTTTTGAATCATTCTTCACTTTGTTGGATTCTTCCATTACAGTTTTGGGTGATTCTTTCCTTTTTACTTCTAAAGACTTGATTCTGCTACTTCTCCTCCTCCCTTTGCTAGGTTTTTCTGCTTCAATCTGACTGTTATCTGAATCAACATGCCAACTTTTTCGCTTGCCTTTTCTTTTGTAAGTCAAATCTCCATTTTCAGAGTCTGTAATGTCTGAGTTGGAATGGTTTGTTCCTGAGCTCAAATCCTGGTTGCTTACATCATTTTGAGAAGAATTGGAATCCTGGGATACAATCATGTCAACATTACTTTGATCAGTATGCAACTCCTTATTTTCATCTCCAGGAACTTTCAAATGACGTTCCAAAGATTGACTAAATACAGATTCCTGAGGAATTTCAGTCGAAACATTTTCAGAATTACTTAAACATTTCTGATTGGCTGATGCATCAACATCCGAAAGGTTTGGCAATCTTTCTGAAATATTTCCAAAAGCATTATAGTCTTGGGCCTCTTTTTTCAATTCTGAATCGTTAGAAATTCTTCCAGCAACATCGATTTTAGAGTTCATATATTTGGAATTAGAATCTATGTGCTTGGGGTTGACATCTGATGGGTGCTTACCGGCATTTAAATTCTTACTTTTCAATACATCATGAGTACTGCTTCCAGAAACATCCATTTCTGAGTTCAAATATTTAGAATTATAGTCTATGTGCTTGGGGTCATTGACCTCTGATGGGTAGTTACCTGCATGTAAATGTTCACTCTGCTCTACATTACGAGCACTGCAAGACACTGGTTCCATCACTGCATCTGAATGTTTACTTATATCTACCTCATGAAGACTACAGGAAACTTGCTCGCTCATTGGGTCTGAATGTTCATTTTTCTCCGACTCAATCATTGCATCTAAATTGTTGCCATTGTCTACATTATGAGCACTGCTGGACACTGTCTCACCATCACTCACTGATGTGCCACTGGTGTAAACAGAGCTGCCCTTTTCAGCCTGCACATTTGGAATTGTATTTTCAAATTCTTGCCGTGTTGGAAAAGTGTCAGGACTTAAGGTATGCTGCTGGGCTGGAATACTGACGGGAATCAACTTTTCCATCTCAACATCTTGTACAGTTATGGTTTTTTGACTTGCCTCAGTATCTTCAATTGGGATTTCAGGCAAAGGTATTTTCTCCAAGATTTTACTTTTTTCAGAATACACAAGACCATGGCCTTCTGTAGAAGTCACTGATTCTATTTCATGAGGTATTGCTTTATGTCCTTCATTTTTAACATTTCTGGAATTATCAATAAATTTATTGACACTTGCTTTCTTTTCAATTGCTAGAGGATTAAGTGGTAAAATTTGATTCTTAATTTTCTTATCGATCACAAATTTAAATCGTTCCTTGGGTGCTTTTTTCTGATACTTTTCTGGTGCAATGTTGCTGAATGGTAAGAGTTTTTCTGTTGCAATAGGGAATAAATCAGATTTTCCTCCTAGACATTCTGTCCTTACTTCATCAGGTTCCAATTTACAGATCTGGCCAAGTGGAATAACATTACCACTTATTTCATTTGAAGTCATACATCTATTTAAGTCCATTTGTTTAATTTCAATGTCAATCAGATCAGTCCTGGTATCAACAGGCTTGCTACCAATTTCAACCTGTTTAGTTCTAGAGTCAACTGGTATAGTTTGAGTGTCAACAATATTAGTTCCAGTATCAACCGGTTTAGTTCCAGCACAAAGCTGTTTTGTTTCAGTGTCAACCGGTTTAGTTTCAGCATCAACCAGTTTATTTCCAGTTTCAACAGGCTTAATTCTAGCATCAATCAGTTCAATTGCAGTTTCTTCTGGTTCAATTTTAATATTTGAGATTTTGTCATCAAATTTTGAATCAATACAATGTTGAATTTTATTGACGTTATTTAACTTACTTTCTGATGAGCCAGAATGAAAACTTATTATATTTGTATGCTTGACATTAGTTTCCGATTTCATTATCAGCTGTGCATAGCTCAAATCGGATAATTCTTTTCCAAATGATGTTGTTGTTTCCACTGCTTCTATTTTCACATTTTTTTCCAGCTCAATTTTTTTCACATTTGTTTCTTTGAAACCTATCAACACTGATGGTTTAGTTCCAGGTTTATTCTCGGTTTTTAAATTAAATCCTTTCAGTTCTTTTAACTCAACATTTGGTTCAAATCCTTTCACATCTTTCTGACGATCTTTTACATGAACATTTGATTCAAATCCTTTTAGATCTTTTACATCAACATTTGGTTCAAATTTCAGTGGGCTTTTCACACATGGCTTAAAATCCAAATTTGAGAAGCTGTTGCTTTCTAATTTAATTTCAAATTTCTTGGTATTATCAGCAGTTGTTTTAAGTTCTTTTTTCGCATCCCTTTTAATTGTATCTAACAAATCTGCTTTCTGCTTAGCTTTATATTTCATAGATGGAATTTTCCCAGTCATATGTTTTGGAGGCAGGTAAGTGCTTTCTACAACTGAATCACGATCCTCGGGTTCTGATTTAATTTGAAATGGCCCTCTAGTGGCAATTCGCTCTGCTGTTTTTTGCGTTTTAATAACAAATGGCTTGAACTCAAGTCCTTTCTTTTTCTTCTTATGTTTTGTAGGACTAATTACTTCATTTTGTTTTTTAACATCACTTCCAATATTTGATTTAGCATCTGACTCAATATTTTTGGATTCTACTTGCTTTCTCTTTGAATCTCCCAATGAATTATTTTCTAGAACATGATCTTTCTTCTGGTGTTTATCAGACAATGACTTGTTTTTGTCAGACTCACTAGAAACAGATTTATCTCCTTTTAATTTCTTTGTAACAAGTTCTTTTTCAAGCTCACGGAACATTTTCTCTTCTAATGATTCTGACAGTGACGCATTCTCTGTAATACTTGTTTTAGGAAGAAGGATCTCTGCTGCTGCTTTCTTTTGCTTTTCCTCAATCCTCTGCAGAAATTGAGGTTTAATATCCCATTTGGATGTTCTAGATGGTTTCTTATTAACGACTTTATCAATTTTTCCAACAACAGAGTCTTTCCAGATTGATCCAGTTTTCAAAGATTCTTGCTCCACAACATGCGACGCAAAAACAGTTGTGTGACACTCTTGAAAAGTATTTGAATCCGCTAAAGATTTAGTTAACTTTAGAGGTTCTGGACATTCTTTAGGCACTAATACTCTATTTGATTCAAGATCACCCATGTTGTCTTCCTTTACCACTACTTTCTTTGACTGGTTTTTAATGTTAGAGTCTGCATGTGGTGCCAAAGAACTACTTATGTTAGTAGTGGTAGCCTCTTCTTTTGGAGGTGGAGGAGGAGGGGGTGGTGGTGGAGCTAAAAGTGTACATATGGACTTGACCCAATCTTCTTGTTTATTGACACTTTGCTGTGGTGGAGGGGGAGGGGGAGGGGGTGATGATAGGAATGCAATATTAGTTGAATCAAATGATGAATCTGCAACTTGGCAGGAGGAAGTAGTTGGAGGTGGAGAATAACTCACTTTAGTTTTTGAAAGATTTTTTGGTTTATCACCTGGTGGTGGTGGTGGAGGTAATAACTCATCAGAAGCAGCCAGAGGTAGATTCTTATATGGATCAAATCGCCGTGGTAAAGGGGGAGGTGGTGGTGGCGGCTGGTCAATTAACCCTACTTTATACTTGTCATTTTTGTTAGGGGGTGGTGGCGGAGGTGGAGGAAGATCGATATCAAGTTTTGGAGGTGGCAAACCACTGAAAAGATCCATCTGCTGTTGAGGGGGTGGAGGAGGGGGTATAACAGTATCAGTCCTTGTTGATTGCTCCAACATCTGCTTTGGAGGGGGAGGAGGTGGTGGCGGTGGTGAGGTGGTTCCTCGTAAGGATGCACTTGAGCTATCAACAGTAGCATCTGAAAGCACACACTCAATTAATTTCTTTTTCCTTGATTGCTGTGATATTTCTTCTTTTTCTAACATTCCATCATCATCTTGAACCTGAAATAAAATCAATTTAATACATTAATAAAATGCAACATTTATATACTGCAAATCAACACCTTATATCGATATTTTACATTAAGAAATCTAAGTTATACATTTTACATTCCTATTTATGTAAAATGCCACTCAATTCAATATATATTATATAAATTTAAAATAAGTTTTTGTATGTAAAATTTAAACCAAATGCAATCATTTACAAATGCATCTATTCAGTCATTTAGTAGTACAAAGTAATACTTATTTCTTGAGTACTCTATGTACCACTACTTAAAATACTGGTTTTAAATAGAGCTGCAGCTTGGTGTTGGACTCGCTTGCTTTCAACATCAGGATCCTGGTTTCAATACACACATGTCAATTTATATTTCCAGAATTTTTTTCACAGCCAAATACGTCACACTCCCAAAAGCTCATAATGAATGCTAGCATTTCATTTATGGTGCATCATGTGTACTGTGTGCACATATTTGTCAGTGATTAATATTGCTATTTGGCAATCCAAATCAAATTACAAAAAAAAAAAATGTAGTAGGTCTAGTGGGATCTGTATTCCGTACATTACTATTTACTATCAGAGTGGACTTTTTACAGTGTGCTGCCAGATCTGAAGACAGGTTTGGAAGTCAAGATTTCGTAACTACCAAAATCCTTCTTCAGGATGACTTCCTTCAAAATAAAATTTAAAGGGAACTTGATAAAAAAAAAATAGTGTGATGTACTTACATTTCCTACATCTTCACTGAAGGCACAAGCAAATCATGAAAGAAAACAAAAGAGAAAAACCAACGATTAGCCATAAAAAAAATCTACTTAATTCACTTGATAGTAAAACAGACGAATAGAGAAAAATACAACACTTGAGACTGCTTTCACTCTAAGGTAAACAAAAAATATATACAACTTTCTGTTTTCTACTATCCTTCCTGAATGAGCAATAAAATAAAGTGAGACAACATTTCATGAAACGAATCATCTGCCCAAATTATTGTTTGTGTTTTAATCATGTGATGTTCCCTTTCCGTTCCCTTACCGTGAGTCAATGAATTTACAATTAATTTATGTATAAGCCTAAGTGCCACAGCCTCATTCATGTCTTATTAAAATTAACATAATATTATTCTGTCTCTGTGAATCCTCTCTAAAAATGTGCTTATTAAAATCAGATAAAGGAAAAATTTATCAAAGATTTTAGGTTGATGATTCATCTCCCATCCATGTTCCTATCACAATTGTCCTAAATCATATCTTGATTAGTTTTATTATTTTTTTTATTTTTCCGTATTTATAGAAGGTGACTCTTCCAGCGTATCCTAGAAGGTCAGCTGATATTCAGGGCCCACTTAAATAAATGAAATAATGTGATGCTCATATCCACGAAATCTCTTTATGAGGCTTAGGTAGTGGAGTTGTTTTTAGTCGTGAGAAAAATTCCTGCTGTCCTCACAGGAACTGAACCCAGAACTCTGCGATTAAGGCAAGCATCTTAACCACTAAGCTATTCAACTCCACTTTATGCTTCACATCTGGGCTCTTTAAAAGAGATTCATGAAGGAATTTTAATTCATTCTCTCCTTCAAAAGGACAGCAACAACACACATACAGATTCTAATCATACAGATGGTGAAATATAGGCCTACACTGCATACTAGATTCCAAGACTACATGGACTACATAAGACACTCATGTGACCTGAACAAAATTATGCAGAATATTTTTATTACACTAAAAACAAATTAGAATATAGCAAAAATGATTTTACTGGCTTTTGTTCAGACAAATACTGTTATAAGTGCCACATAAATATTGTTATTATTAATGTTCATCAACTATCTAAATGCAGATTACTGTAATGACCCTCCTACCGTTAGCTAGCTCACACAAACTGATGTTTACAAAATTGGCTTTACTTTACAAAATTTGTTTTTATTTCTAACAAAATCAATGGAATGATATAGGAAATGTTGTATAAACATTAGCCCCAGAGATTTGAATGTAAAGGAAGGTCTACAGAGAGTCGAGTTGGGGAGAAAGCCACAAAGCTCAGGCTAGCATGAATTTGCATAATGCATTGTTCCGCCATCTTGAATTCCAGACTTAATCATTGTTCTGACACAGGGGTGTTACTGACCTTAGCTGCTAATATAAATCCAATTGCTACTTCGCACATAAAAAACAAATCCTATGAGTGTGATATTGAATAGAATCTCTCATATTAGTCTGTAAAATGTTGTTAGCTATGAAAAACTCCTAATTACAAGATTACAGAATACATATGAGCATTATGCTAACAATTTAGTGTATTATATACTAAAGATACTGTATTTCACACAATCATTTATGTTTATAAAAAAAAAAAAGAGTTAGCAACAATTAGAATGGAATTATTGTTTAAATGTCAATAGTTTATTCATTAAACGTATGAAAATCACATAAAATTTATTATTTTGTTATTTAGACCCCTATTACACAAAATAGAACGGTCCTGCCCCAATCTGCCAAACTCATCAGTAAGCCATGATATCTGCAAATGGCTGTAGAGTGCTGTGGCGTTACTGCCAACTAAAACACACAGTCACCACCTTGGCCTGTTAGTGAATGAAGTGCTACTGTACATCCAAATTCGTATATATCTTGGTCATATACAAATATAAATAAACCCTACAAACATTGTGTTTATGAACTAATTAGTTATGAATCCAAGGTTTTTGTTAATGCAACTCAAACCTATTCATAGGATATTGATTAATTCCATATAGAAATTATCCTAGTACCAACTGCAAAACAGCTGAAAACAGACTTTTTTTGAACCATAATAAAATTAGTAAGCATTACATGTTATTTAGATGTTCCCAAAAATAGACTACATTAGTATTTTGAATAAAAAAGTATTTTCATCTGTAAAATATGAATACACTTCATAAATTATATACAAAAAAAATTCTATTCTGTAGAAACTTCAAAGCAACATTCCTTGGATATTGTGTATTAAAATGTGTGTATTTACATGTTGCAAACACTATTTGCGTACAATATTCTCCAAAGAATTAAATATTTCCTATCCAAGTAATACATAATTATCCTACAACAAGAAAGAATATCGCCATTCTGTAAGTGCAGATTTATGCTAATATGTAACTTAATCATGTCTTCAGGTTCAACCTCCATAAAGTATTAACATACAGTCTCATACATGGATGCTTATGTGTTTATTTAGATGGTTATCTCTATATGATGTGTTGACAAAAACACTGTGTTTGTGTTCTGGACAATGCTACAACAATCCTTGGAGTTTGCACAGTGGTTCACTGTGTCCTAAATATGTTAGCTACAGTATAACATGACTCAGTCTGTATCCTGTATATTCCAGAATTTATCCTATTATATTTTGATCCAACTGTGTGTGTCCTAATGCAGTTGTAAGTATACTTCTACAGAAATCTGACCCAATAATTACATACAAATTTAAATTAATATTAATATTTTGTTTACAGAGGAGCAGAACAATTTTAAGGGAATATTATAATTTAACCCATACTATAATCTGATAAAACTACTGTATACACAGGAAAAAAACTACGGTTGATCATTAATAAACCCTTTCAAATAGCTACCCTGGGCAAGAAATGCATACTTACTGTAGCGATACTACGAAGTCATGAATGGAAACTAGATGGGCATAAAAAAAATAGCCAGAGAGAAAAAATTTAGCTATAGATTCAATCAACTCAAAATGATCCAAGAGAAATGATTTTTCGTCGTTTTTGATTGCTTATGGAATATCAATTTGTACACCAAAAACAAATGACGAGCACATAGCAACGTTTTCACTGGGATCACTACGGTATTTGGAAATTCATTAAACTATGGTCCACTTACTGTACATAAATATGTTTTGACTATTTTTTTTTTTAAATTGGAAGGAACGTGGGCAACAGAATACACTGATCATATAGAAATGAACTCCTGATTGGTTTTTTAAAAATACTGTAATCATGATGTATAAAATGTCAGTGCTAGCCAACTATGGAACACATACTTTGCTCCCTGTGGAGACAATAGAGTTGAAGCCAATAATCAGTGAATTGGCCTTCCAGGTACCCACATATTCGTGGGTGGAGACTACAGTACTGCAGGTAAAGTGCCTTGCAGAAGGAAACACAAGCAAAATTGACGGCAATATTGAGACCCTGACTTACAACCACTATCACTTTTACTACCAGATTTTTTTCATAACAAACCTATGATTGACCTCAAGCAAGTAATGCAGTGGTGGATCCAAAGGGGGAGGGGGGTTGGAGTTCAGGGGGTTCGGACAAACAAATCTCTGTGAAGAAATGAAACAAAATAATACTGGTCCTGGCTTACAAAATGCATGCTAACCTACCTCGGCATAGGTTTTCAGATCAGACTAGGCTTAGACCAACTAGCCTTCAAATTTATGTACGAAAATGCATTCTCCAAGCTATTGGTTCTTCGATCCACGGAAGAAAGACTAAGTATCCAAATACTTAATATTGTTGGAATATAATATAGTAATATATAGTTCATGTCTTTGATTTTTTTCTCTACGTATAAGCCTAAAGAATTAGACAAAATTTACCTGACCTTTTTCTAGAGGGGAAAACCTTGAATTTTGAAGAACTAAACAGTCATTAAAGACTCCTCAGAAGTCGGAAAAGCTCATTTCCGGCCATCTAGGAATAAAAATTTACCCGGGGGGAGAGCCTCTTTAATTTTGGGGTTTTTTGGAAACATTTTGAAACCCTCTCTTTTAAATCCTGGATCTGCCTCTGTAATGTGTGTGTAAAAATATTCTTCTGTGTATTTTAGGTTAACCTACTGTTATCTATGCATCTAATAATTTGTGTGCTATATTTGAATTGTATTTGAAATATTATATTCATATTAAAGTCTGTTTCTTAAAAAAAAAAAAAAATTATTTTAGATAAATAGGCAGATAGAAATCTTTCTTTATTCTGGATACTTAATCAATTTGACATTGTTCTTCCTTAAGGTCCAGTTAACAATTAAAACATGTTTAAAATATGAAATAACATTACGAAATTATATACAAAAACCAACAAAAGTTGGTATATTATATACGGTATATGACGACATTGTGTACATTTTTATAATCTTAATGCCTCCCTTTGTTGATGTCCATTTTTCTTTCACTATACTGCTGGTATGAATGAAGGGTGTAGCTATACCTGAACTGTTCAACCATGACCTCAGGTCCTCTCAGCCAACCAAAATCTGTCTGGAGTTAATGTATGTTACAAAAAGGTTAATTTACAGGGTGGACTTTCCTCATACAAACCTCAAGGACATCACAACATACTAAATCTAATAACCATTTATGTACTTTTAATAACAAAGGAAGGTAAATACATATAAAAAATATAAGAAAAATATATAAATAATGGAGCTATGGGTTGGTGGTTAGGGGATTTGCTTTCTACTATAGTAATAATAATAATAATAATAATAATAATAATAATAATAATAATAATAATAATAATAATAATAATAATGATTTATAATGCGCACATCATAATTTTGTAGTTTAAGAGGGATGGGGGTGGGATACCAAAAATGATTAGCTGTAGCTATTACCTCGGTCACCTTTTTTACTCAACTGGGGTGCCTTGATGCCTAAGGCACCCCAAGACACCCAAGGTTTAATACCTAGGTCCAAAGCTTGTTCAACTACAGGGCTACAAAACTATTGTACAACTA